AAATTAGCCTTTGGAAGATAATTATGCATACTTTATTATCATTAGTTTTTCGTTGTCTGTTAGTGGTATGCCACTTTATTTTAAGGAAGAAGGAAGTATCATACAATAAAAAAAATTTTTATCAGCAAATTCAGGCAATTATTTACTAATAAATATGTAAATCTCAGCCCGTTATGTTTAGTTTTACAAAATTTTTCTTTGGCGTAAATCTTGTCCTTTTTTAGTGATGTACAAATCTTTTTGCACCGGACCATATTATACTATAATTTGGTAAATATTTCTTTTAAATTAATATAATTCTTAGCACTTACTATACAGTCAAACCTTGATATAGCGAACCCTTGATATAGTGAATTTTTCAGACAACTATAATAAATTTTCCCTTGCTATAATGAATTAACCAATCAAATCTCTTAAAATCTTCACTATAGCCCTATAGCGAAGTTGAGGTCTGGAACCTAGGGTTCGTTATAACAAGGGTTGACTATATATGTTAAAATTTTGTATCTCAACTTAAAACGTAAATATCTCCAGATCTAGTGATCCAATTGGCAAGCTCTTTTTTCGTTCATATAGACCAGATCAAAGGCTTTCCAAAGAGCCTAAATTTATAAAAAATGGATCAGTGAATCCCAAGATATTTGCATTTAAGCATGTTAAAAAGTTCGTACCTCAACTTTAAACGTAAATATCTCCGGATCTAATGATTCAATTGGCGAGCTCTTTTTTCGCCTATAAAGTCCAGAACAAGGGCTTTTCAACGAGCCTAAAATTATAGAAAATGGATCAGTGAATCTTGATATATTTGTGTTTAAAGATGGTAATACAAACTCTAACATAAAATAATTATTTTTATTGTTTGAAAATATTTATTATGATACCATCTTTTATATGATATTTTTATTATACTTTTATAAACATTTATAGCTACTAAGGCTATATAAATTTTTATTTTACTTTATATTTTATTAAAATATACTTACTTTTTAATAATATATGTTAAAAATTCCATATATATGAGAAATGGTTTTTTATTAGTGAAATGGGTTTTTTCACAGCTCTTTTACATTTAATAATTTAAGTTTCGCAAATGTAAATTTTTGTTCAACTTATTATTTAGTCAAGTGATCATCAATCAGATGATTTTTTGGTATTACAAAACAATTTTGAGTAACAAAAATTGTGAAAATCAATCAATAACTCTTTTTAATGCAGAGTAGACAAATCAGCCCATATGAGTTATATGATTTTATAGTAAACAATAATATTAAAATTCAAAGTTAACGAACTTCACATTCAGTAATTCAATTTTTATGATCTTTATACGGTTGGATTCAGCTCATCAAGAAGATTCCAATAATATGTATTTTATATTTGTAGTATCAATATTGACAGAGTTATTCATATTCAAAATTTGGTATTAAATAATCTTATAATTTTTATAATAAACAATAATATTAAAATTTAAAGTTAACAAACTTCGCATTCAGTGATTCGATTTTTATAATCTTTATGCAGTTGGATTCAGCTCATCAAAAGGATTCCAATGATATGTATTTCATATCTATAATATTAATATTAATAGAGTTATTCATGTTTAAAATTTCATATTAAATTATAATTATAAAAATCACATGACTATGATGTAATTTCAACCATTTTGACTTTGACTTTAATTTTGATTTTTGACTTTTCCAAGTCAAAATATTTCAACTTTTGGGTTTTAATTTCAACTTCATGTATAGCACCTTTAGATGAAATTATAATTTAAAATATTTAGATTTATAATAATTCTATTGCTATTGATAAAGAAAATAAAAATTTAATTGATACTCAGTTATAAGATAAAGGTTTAGCAAATAAGTATAAGTGTAGAATATGTAATAATTTTGGATATAATTCTTATAACAAAAGAAAATGTTCATAACAGAATTCTTTATAACTTTTTAATGTATTGTAATTACTTCTGTAATTTTAATATTGTAATGCTTTCTTTTATTATATAATTAATTGTATTAGAATTGACTTGGATTTAATTGTATTGAAAATATCGGCATAGCTGAAGAAAATCATGTAATTTAATTTGACTCGACTCGATTCGGTTTGATGGGCCAACTCGAGTCAAGTTTATATTTTTTATAATTTTAATTCGACTCGATTCAACTCGATTTAAGTTGAGTTGAATTGAGTTTACATATAA